TCCCCATATTACAAACTTCCTCTGTTTTTAATACTTGCAACACTTCTTTTTTCACGCTTGCCAATTATCTTTTTTAATTGTCAATATCTTGAATTACCAATGCGTAAAAATTATAAAAGTTTAATATTATGAAAGTACAAATCGAGACCAGCCTAACAATATTCTACATGACAATATCTAAACTGACCTATAAATCACCAAAACTAGTCAAAGTGAGATATGTGAATAGTGTAAAAGTCTTGCAAGTAAAAAGCACGGAGAAAGTTTTAATTAATTTTTCTTTCCTCATGGTCCCACTATTACATTATTATTTCACTCATCCCACATTCTAGGATTTAATTCTCCAAAAAAACCACCCTACTTGTACACCCTATATATTTCTCCTCAAACTCAGCGCGGAAGCGAATGTGTCAGTCAGAAAAATAGAGGGAGTAATTGTTACTTTTAAAAGAAGCAAATGAATGCAAAACCGATTCAGAGGTCAATGGTGGGATGTCAAGGCATATAAAGCATGACAGGCCATCTACATTCATCAGGTAAAATCACATTTATTTTTGAAGAAATGTTCTCTACTGTTAGTCCAGAAACCAGAGGTTAATTAAGACAAAGAGACTAACTGATACCAAATGGTGACATGGCTACAAGCTGCTATTGCCTGAAGCTTAAATATTTTAGGAAAAAGTAATGCAAAAATCAAAAGTAACATAAGCAAGTAAGTCTTGCATTCATGTACCAGTAAATTCCATAATTGAATAACGAATACACGTTAAAAACTTCAGCCACACAAAAGATACCTATGAGGAACATGATCAAGAGATGGTTGAACACGCTCCAAACAAATGACTTCCCCTCCAAAGTCAGCTTTGAACTTGTTTACTGCTCGAATTAGCTCCGTTGCAGGCCTCTATATGATCAAAAATAGCAACAAGCATTTAATATCTGAGCTAAATGCAAAAAAAATAAGCACATACACTACTGATACACACTATTTGATTGTACTAGCTAAGTGTACTTAAAAGCCTAAGGGTATATTCGGTAAAATATAGGTGTGAAGGTACTGTAGCTGTGAAGATAGCTGTATGTAGCTGTTAGCTGCCAACAAGCTGTTAGCTGTGAAGATAAATAATTTAGATATGAGGGTTCGGTAAAGTAGCGGTTGACTAGCTGTTACATATAAAAATCAACATTTTATTTTTAAAACTGTAGATTAAATTTTCAACAACTACCTCAAAAGCTACCTCTAATTTCAAAAGCTAATCTTTCTAACTTTTCATAAAAGCTACTTTCACCACTAAAAGCTACCCTAACCACTATTTTGCCAAACACTTACATTTTTTGTCAACTAGTTATTTGACTTGGTCAAACCACTAAAAGCTACTCAAAAGCTAGCGCCGAACACGCCCTAAATCTCTCATTTCAACTCAGCACGAATTATAGCAAAACCACACCGAAATCTCCTAATACATAATATACACGACGACATTCGTACAACACAACATAAAGCTATAAGTGCCTTTTATACCTCTCCGCAATCATCATATCATACATTATTATTATAATAAAAATTAAAAAAAAAAAAAAAAAAAAAAAAAAAAAAAAAACGAAAAAGAAAAAGAAAGAAAGAAACACCCGCATTATTAACAAATTCAGCTCATGGTATTAACAAAATCATTGAAATTACACAGCATTCAATTAATATAAGAATCTCATCCTTCTGAATAACAATTGGACTAATTAGTTCAATCATCAGAAAACAAACAAATTTCCAGAAATTCCAGCAATTTTCCGAATTCAACTCAAACCAATCAATTAAACACAAAACAAAAACAATCAAAAACTTCAAAATTCAGAATTAACCTTGTAAACACACTCAGAAAGAACCATGCAACAAAGAATATCCTGCAAATCAGAAACAGATTCAGCCTTAACAGCACGACAAAGATCTTGAAGTTGCTTCTTCCTTCTCTCATACTCTTCTTGAAGCTTCCTACGTTGTTCTCGATCAGTCGACCATGGCGGCCACTTCACTCCAACCCAACCTCGAAACTGCGGCAATGGCGGAAGTTGAAGTTTCGGGAACTTTGAAGTTTGATCTTTGATCCAACCCTCTAATTTGCGTTGTAATCCTTCTACATTCATCGCTGATCATTGAAAATTTTCGATTGTTTGGTAGAAATCCCTAACCCTAATTTTCAATTTGAAATTGAATTGGTAATTCGAAGAAGATATAATTTGTTGTGAGAAAATTTTGTGGATTAGATATGAAAAGGGGAAATGAGAAAAAGTACATACTGAGGAATCGAACTCCCGCGATTAAGGAATGTAATTGAATCGATGATTGTAGAATTTTTGGAGTTTTTTTGTTGCGAATTTTGTCTTTTTTAAAATGAAAGATAAGTTTTGAAAGAGATGTGTGGCCCATTAATTTGTTTTGGATTGGCCCATTAATTTGTTTTGGATTGGCCCATTAACTTGCTAAAATTCGATTGAAAGTTTGAAACTCTATGGTGTCCACAACATGATCTTAATAGAATTTTAATGATATGGTAGGTGATACAAATAATAAAATTTAAAAATTATTAATAAAATTTTCAATAAAATCTTTCTAACTTCTAAGTAGGTTATTGAAGTGTTGATAGTAAATTTCATTTTGAATTTACTGATGCTTATTGAGAGTTTGACCTGCGACTATACATTGTTATTAACCTTATTGCAATACATCATATCCTTAAACGATAATGTGGTGTGTCACATAGAAAATTTTGTGAATGAATAATAAGTTATGTCTCATAAATTTGACATTATTTGATGGCAAACATTATTATAAAATCGAAGGTTATTCATTATCTCTTACTTAGTACATGTAGGAGTAGGTATTCAAAATTTAATTTACTTTTTTTACTTTTACAGCTTATTGATCATTTGTTTGACATAAAATTACATAACTATGAAATATTTCAATCCTTTAAAAGTAATAAATTGATTAATTTGGTTTTCTTTAATAAAAGTTGAAAGTCCTAATAATTAGTGATTCTCATAACTCATAAGAAATACCCACCTTATATAACGAAACAAATATATATTTACCATTCTCACAAAAGCAACTTCAATCTCGAAAATTGAAATTTTTGTAACATGTGACTTAGGTCGAACTACCGAGTCTCTAGTCCTTCTAATCTCTATCTATCAATTGAAAGTCCCAACATGTGTGGATGAAGCTACAATGTATGAAAGCAATGCAAATCTAAAACTCTTAGCTTTAAAGGTTTAGGAATATTGACAATACACCAAATAATTGTTGAGCTAATAAAAAGGAGGTCATTAAAGAAGTCCACATGATGGAATCCTAAACCCACCGTTGTCCTTGAATTCAAAAAGCTTGTTTCACACATTGTGTATGTGCAAGTGCAACTTCCTCTCCCCCTTCCTAAAGCCTAACACCTAACCCTCAAACCTTTTTATTTTTAGTCTTTATTTTGTTTTTTACACATTCTAAAGTCAAATCTCACTTTAATTATACTTGTTACACAACATAACGAATACTTCCCTAAATAGCAAACTTACTACAACTTACAAGTTACAACTCCTACGTCCTACAAGTTTATGGTAAAGACTAAAGAGTAATCGTAAATTATATTCCTCTCTCCAATACACTTGTACAGCATATAGTATATGGTAAAGACTAAAGAGTAATTGTAGTATTATTATATATAGCATTTGCACTTTTTCAGAAGGCTTGCTAAGATGAGAAATATTTGGTTAGAGTAAATTTCACTAGCATGTAGTATTTGGTAGTTAAGTAGCTAAACAAACTACGTGAATTAAAGTTGACTAGTAACGGAATCATGCATTTTTATCATTCTATGCAGCTAGTTTAGTCAATATGTAATAATGTAACTAGAGTAAAGATGTTCTTGGGGGTATTTGTTTAAACGATGGAAATTAGTTTATCATTATTAAATACACCTTAATTTCACTCATTTTAGGAATAAACTTTTTAATTAAGTTATAATGATGGATTATAATTAAGTTCAGATATAAGTTCAAATGCATAGTGTTAATAAGGGTTATTTACCCTAATTCAACCATATAAATAAGCTTTGAAATATATAATCATAGGAGAATCTTGTTAAATTTGTCAAAATTTGTACTTTTAAAATAAGATAAAGAGAATAAAGCTCTAGGGGCGTGACAAGTCCTCTAGCTGTACAATAAAATAAAATAAAAAAATCATTTTGTTCATAATATGCTTATTAGTTAGGGCATGTTCTGTTCAGTTTAATTTCAATTCAGTTTAATTCAGTCAGCTCTAATCAGTTCTGTTCAGTTCCTTATTTCTTTCTCTCATAGACAATTCATTTCAATTCAGTTTAATTCAGCTCCAATCAGTTCAATTCAGCTCATAATTTTTTCTATTTGACTTTCAACGGTGACGCATCTTAAAACGTATATATTTCCATTATATGAGTAAAATTATAAAAACTTGATATGAATAAAATATACAATGAAATGAATTCAATAAAATGTCACATAACTATATTGTTCTTTAAGATTTACATTTATTATCAAAAATTTTAAAGTTTAAACCAAATACTCCATATTAGTTATTACTTCCTCCTTTTTTATTTATTTATTATAATTGCAACATTTTGTCTTTTATAGTGTTTATGTGCTCACTTTGACTAACTTTAATGATTTATACTTAATAAAAATATAATCATGTGAGATCTTGTTAGATTCATATCAATTTATATAACTTTTTTTTTGTAGATAAGGAGAATTACCTTGTAAGTAGGGGGGAAATTGGGGATCCTACTTGGTTGGGGGTGAGAATCGAAACTCTCTCACAGGGGTAGAAGGAGAGCCTTTAACTAAATTATACAATTTTAATATTAATATTTATAAATTTTATACATTGGTATATAAAGGAGTAAGTAATCGAAAACATGCATTAACAAACATAAAAAAAAAAAAAAAAAAAAAAAATAAAATAAAAAAGTAAATAAAAATAGTGTAACTATAAATAAAAATGAGTATAGGTCAAAAAAAATAAGAGACGGGAGTGGTATTAGAACAAACACACTCCAAACAATTTTAATTTTCACTCATTACACAAAAATTCGCGTGACAAATCCCATACTTCTCCTCTGTCCCTAAATTCAAAATGTCACCTTTTCATTGGCTACCTCACCTCCACTAACTAATTTTCTCTCTCCTATTTAACCCCCTTTCCCTTCCTCATTCTTCCCTACTTTCCCAAACCTCACTTTCCTCTTCTTCTCCACCTTCATCTTCATCAATGGAGTTTCTTCAATCCTCCATTACTTTCTCTCTCCTCTTCCTCCTAACCTCTCTTCCACTTTCTCTCTCCTCAACCTGCACCTCTCCTAAGCTCACTTCCTCCTACAAATCTTGTAACGAACTCCCTTCTCTCAGCTCATCGCTTCACTATTCTTACGACCACTCAAATAAATCACTTTCTATCGCTTTTACGGCAACCCCGCCTTCGGCTTCTGGCTGGGTTGCCTGGGGAATTAACCCTACTGGTACCGGTATGGCCGGTACCCAAGCCATCGTCGCTTTCAAAGATACTGACGGTTCAATGTCTGTTAAGACCTTCAATCTGTCGTCGTATTCCGACATTATTGAAGGGAAGTTGTCATTTCCGGTTTACGAAAAACGGGCGGTTTTTAATGCTGCTGATGGGTCGATTACTATCTTTGCAAGCGTCGGGAATTCTGGTACTGGTAAGATTAACCATGTTTGGCAAGTTGGTCCTGGTGTTTCGAAAGGTTTTCCTGAGAAACACGAGTTTAAGCCGGAGAATCTTCAGTCGAAAGGTACTTTGGATTTGAATGGAGGAGCAAGTAGCGGCAGTAAAGCGTCGGAAACTGCTAGTGATGCTGCTACTAAGAAGAGAAATGTAGGTTTATTGTTACTTCTTTCGAGTTTGGTTCTTGGTTTGTTTTCTGTTTTTGGGTGCTCTTAAATTCTGGGAATTTTGGGAGTTTATTATTATGGATCAATTTTGATTCTTTTGCACTTAATTAAATATATAGTAATTGTGTAGTGTTTTATCCATAATTGATATAAAAAAATGTAATATTAGTGAAATTGGATGTTTTTAGATTATAGTAGTAAAATTGTATGCTCTGGTTGATGATCAGAAAGTGTTTGAATAAATTTCATTAGAACAGCTTTTAATATTGAATACAGGCTTTTGTGTAAGATTTTGCTCAAATTATAGTGGACGGGATTCGATCTCAGATTCCTCTACAGGTCTTAAATCAAATAAGCTAGCTGACATCTACATCGATTACTTGTTAACTGTGTGCCTACTGTACAACCACCAGTCAGCCATAGTTCTTACAAAGAGAAACTACTAGTCAAACTAACACACAAGAAATGTTTATGATTTCATATTTATTTTCTGGGATCTCACTGTTATGCTTTTAAGCTACTTGTTGTAGTTGAGATTCTGAAATTGACTTTTTATGTTAATTTTTATTCATTAATAGAAATTCCTGAAACAATGTTCTTTAATTTTTAGCTGTCATTGTTATCCTGAATTGCATGTCAGAATTATGATTGCCAACTACCCCAGTCAAATTAAAGTTCTGTTAAATGTTCATGTTAATTTCCTGGCATTGCTGATATCATATTGACAATTTTGGTATCGTGGTTTGTTGAATTTTCAGACTCATGGGATTCTGAATGCAATTAGTTGGGGATTATTGTTTCCAATTGGAGCTATCATTGCAAGATACATGAGAACATTTGAATCTGCAGATCCTGCATGGTTTTATGTTCATGTTTCTTGTCAAATATCTGGATATGCTATCGGTGTTGCCGGCTGGTCCACCGGACTTCAGCTTGGAAGCGAGTCTGTAGGGATCGTTTATTCGAGTCATCGCTACATCGGCATTGCCCTCTTTGCCCTGGCTACTCTGCAGGTAACTCTTTCTTGCTGTTTTATAAATACTCATTTAACTGTGATATAAGCCTACTTGTACTTTGAAGATCTGAATGTAGATTTGACCTGTGATATTTGAAGGTTTAATAGGGTTCAGAACATCAAATATTTCCCAAATTAATGCAACTCTTAACAATTCTTGATAAGATGTTCTGATTTTTCGAGTAACTCAACTAAATGTTAGTATGGTACCAAATGGTCCCTTAAGTTTTGGGACTTTAGTGATTGTTGTTTGCCCCATTTGCTGAGGGGCTATTCTCATTTTGGACTGCTCTAATCTTGCAGATTTTCGCGCTGTTTCTAAGACCAAAGAAAGAGCACAAGTTGAGGTTTTACTGGAACATATATCACCACGGCATTGGATATGCCATCATTATCCTCGGAATCATCAACGTATTCAAAGGCTTAAAAATACTCGAACCTGAAAAGAAATGGAAATCAACATACGTTACCATTCTTATTGTGCTGGGTGGCATTACTGCAGTACTAGAAGTTTTTACCTGGATCGTTGTCCTACGAAAAAAATCAAGTAGATCCACCAAACCCTACGCTTGATCAGCTCATCAAAAAGTTCTTAAACACGACGACTCCATTCATTGGATCATCAAAGCTTGTAAGATGATTGATACGCTTTATTGTTAACTTATTCGACAGGGAATATCATCCCTCATGTTGTCTGTCCTTAGTGTATATTGGTTTGAGATAGTTGTGGTATAGATAAGCGCTCTCATTTTCCGATTATTTCAAGGATTGTATGTATCTTAGATAGTTGCATATAGGCAGATATTCAGAAATATGTGAGCCCATCTTCATTTGTTTGTGCAAGTGTGCTAGATTCTTTACTTTTAGCAGAAATTCACATTTCCTATTTTAGCTTAGAACAGAATTTTATACTGCTTACTGATATGAGTAATTTTCTTTTATAATGTGTTGCACTGCTGCTGGTTTTTGCTCTTAGTTGTTGAATAACAAGGCACTCCCAAGTCCCAACTGCTTAATCGGCAGACATTTGGTATTTATATAACAAATGTTATTCGTAAATTTTTTGTAAATCAACAATAGTACTCCATCATTAAGTGATCAAATAGTACAATAACACACTGTATACGAAAATATGTTTATAATAATAACGGTACTTTAAGTACTCCATAAAATGGTACTAACGTGTTTTGGTTCTGACCAGCAATTACTGTACTGTGTTAAACGTCTCACCATGAGACATTCAGACTTCATAACTAACAACATTACAACAGTAAATTGACCAAGAAGTTGGTCACTGACTCATTGATTCTTACTGACATGAGTTGGGAGTTATTATCTGAATTCAAGAAGGCCGCCAAAACTAATTTAATTGTCAAACGGGATGGAAGCAAGTACCAGTATTGATGTACTTTTGCAAAGAAAGTATACTTTTAATTTCTCCTTTCTCTAATTTTGACCGAATATGCTAGGGTACACTTGGTGTGCAAAAAAATTTTGTACTCCCTCCGTCTCTTTATTCATGTCACTTTGATAAAGAGACGGATTTTAATAAAGAGACAGAGGGAGTACATCAAGTTTTCTAGTAGTTGATAAGGAATCTTATTTTGAAGTGGGCTATCTTTTTTTCTTTTCCTTTTATCTTAGCTGAGTTGACAACATTTAATAGGAATCTTGTACACCAAGTGTACCCCTATACTTTCCCAATTTTGATAAACTTTAGTTACTATGAGTACGGTGTAAAATTTAAAGACATACGAGTAGCAATTAAGTTGACTTCTAATTTACTAGCTTGACCACAATTTTGTTTAATTGTGCAATTATGAAATTTATGTAAAGTTTCGATTCTGAGAGTTAATATTAAGACATTTCTTTTTTGATGAAATACTAAGACATTTCTTAATCATAAATATCACATGACTATTTTGTCCTGTTATATGCGTTGTATGTACCAGCGGAAATTAATTTAGAAGAGAAATTTTGCAAATATTTTGTTCATCAATTATAAAAAAAATTTAAAAAGAAAAAAAAAATTATGTCAGTTATGCATTCATCCTAACATCCTTCATGTTTGTTTTCATTACTATACTGCAACAAAATTTTCATAATACATTTTTAAAGGAATTGAGTGCATCAAACAGACATAGAGGGAGTGGTAGTCATCATTTTTGTTATGTATTTTATTTATGAAAAGTTTATAATTTAATTTGTATATAAAATGTAATGATTGAACCATGCAATAATTAAATGGACAATTTATAAAGGATAGACAAACTTCTTTTTGATAAATTGTATAATGAATTTTCTTTTGGAAGGTGTAATAATTGTGGTCTATGAAATTGAATTTATAGTTGAGAGATTGTTATATACACCCGGCCACCTGGGTGAGCGGTACACCTTAAAAAATTTGTTTTCTCATTTGATGATAAAATGAGCAATAATCATCAAAATGATCAAATAATATTCTTGGGTGCACTGTACAACCGAGTGTATACAACTATTTCTAGACTCAAAGTTATAAAAGTAGCATGGTTTAAAGGTTTAATTACTCAATTAGTCGAATATCATCTAATCTCCTGAATTTAAGCAACTTTTTAGTCAATGACATGTCAATTATCAACCTAAATCATTCCCATGGTAAATAAATAATGAAGCAAAAAGAGACTACTAAATTTTTATTTATTTTTTTGGAAACAATGGAGACTACTAGATTAGTGATGTGCTAAAAGATTATTAGCCCAAATACAAGTATGGATATCAATCATGGAGAGAGTTTAGGTAGTTGATTAAGTTTGTATATTTTCAATCTATCGCGTATTTAATCTTAAGTTTACACTTACAACCTCTTATTTACACCTTTTTTTTTACGAAATTATTTACACTTTACTACGTAGTATAATACTTGTATTAATTAACTCTTAAGTGTACAAAAAAGTATATATCTAGTCAAAAGAATATCGCTTTACTATAATTTATAAATCTTGTTAGTTTCATCTGTAAATTTTTTAAATATTAGTTTTGTAATAATCTCACTTGTATGGATAGTACGTATGTATTACGCACATGAAGGCCATGTAAAATCCATGAGATCGAAGATATATAGGGACTGACGGAGTTAGCTTTTGTAGCAAACTGCATAAATGTTAAATGTTAAAATACGATGCATGTATGTCGTAGTGTATAATTAATTAAAGAATCATGTAAGACTAATTGGAAAAAGATTTCAAGCTTAAAAGTAGAAAAGATCATTCAATAAGGAATTACTTTACAAAAATAATTAATTTCAAAGTGATTTGAGTGTGATATTATTTATTAGCTTTGTCAAAAGGGCTCCAAAAAAAAAAAAAAAAAAAAAAAAAAAAAAGGGGGGGTCCCCAAATATAAATAGCAAAATGGTGCAATTCTAACCTGTCTTCACTTTCATCATTTCTCTGTCTTTTGTTCCTTTGCAAAGGAAACACACCTATCTTCCACGGCACCCCACCCCACCCCACCCCGAATATAAGAGTCCCTCTCTTTATCTTGTCATCTTCATCTTTTCAATTTGTTTCAAATTAGTTTCCTCCGTTTTTGGTTAGTTAAGTTGTCATGGTTTCAAAACACCTTTTTATAGCATTACTTTTGTAATAGCCATTATAACCAAGCTAATAATTTTAATTTGAGGAGTCAAAAAGTAGAGGATTGGAAGATTTTTAGTTATGACTACGACCCAAGGGTACAAATTAAACGTGTAAGTTCTATTGTATACTAGCTAATTCGGGTGTATTCATAATAAGCACGTACGGTAGTATAAAAAGCAAAGCCAATAGTTTTCCTCAATTGCTCGTTTGGAGAGCTTAGATGAAATCTCGTCTTTGAATCTGCCTAAAGCTTTATATCTAAGTCTGATTTTTTTTTTTTTTTTTTTTTTTTTTGATCAAATATCTAAGTCTGATTTCACAATTCTTGAACATAAAAATTATATATAATAAAAAAAAAAAAAAAAAAGTGTTGTTGTTTCTTAAAATAAAAGGACTAATAATTGAGAGCATTATATTACTTTCTCTTTTATACTTGTATTCCTGATCTATCTTAATTGACTTTGTATATTTTAGGCCTTCTAAAATTTACTTATAGTATATTTACATGAAACTTGGTCTTGTGCATCCCATCCCCTTACATAACAATGCATGGCACCAAGCCACCAATTACATCACTACATACGTTGATACATAAACATACGTACCTTACGGCATTTATTTAGCATTGTGCTTAAATGTGTAGATTGCATGATAGCAAATCTATTAAAGTGTACACTTTGATAGAGTAATAAATAAATCCATATTCTGTCTTCATAATTAGGGAACATTTTATAAGCAATATTTAGTTGTTTTTTAAACTTTTTAACAAAAACACCAAAATTATATTAGATTATACAACCTATTTTGTTGTAAACTTTTGGCTTGTTACTTATGACTTGAGTTTGTGCGTAGGGGTGTCAATTCGGATGATCGGATCGGGTCTGATATAATCGGGTTGGGTCAATTTTTAAAGTTAAGTAATAATAAATTGTTATATTCACGCGAGTCCAAATCTAAATCGGATATTTTTCGCATCTGTTTCGGATTGGGTGTGGTTTTGACACCTCTAAATCATTAATCGTGGGTGCCCCCATGCATCATCCCCTAACAAAGCAATGCATGGCACCAATTACATCATTACATACGTACCCTAACTTAGTAGCTTACGGCAATTAATTAATTTGCACGCACTATTGATAAAATAAAATGCTTATTATTAGAATGATAGCAGATCAATTAAAGCGTAATGAAGCATATGATTTGTTTCAACCATGTTCTGTCTATTATTTTTATGCAATAATAATCAGTATCATTTATAACTGTAAAGAGCAAGTGGTGAAACAGAGATATAAACTACATTATATTATTAACATGATTATAAATTTCAATGAAGTAGTGTTACTATGCCAAAAACTTATAGTAACGAGTCTAACGACTAGTTTTCATACGTTGAAATTCAGTTCACTTCAGCTCTTAATTTCCTTCTCTTATAAAATATTCATTTCCGTTCAATTCAGTTCAGTTTAGCTCCTAATTTTCTTCTCTTATAAAATATTCGGTTCAATTCAGTTCAGTTCAGTCAATGAGAATAGACCCTAAATCGCAATAATTTAATACTAAATATATATATCATTAAGTTTATTTGATTGATTAGGTTAAAAAGTATTGAGAGTATTATAATATCCAAGACTTAATTAAAAATTTAATATATTACAGAGTATTGCAAAAATCAAAATTATGTCATTGTTAAATTTGTTCAAATACAGTATGTTACTTTTACGGAGTTTGATTATTATTAATAAATAATAAAGGATATTTATGATCATAACATTTCATGGGTATGGTGATCGTGCAATTGATGACATTGAATTATTATAGGATCAACGGAATACATGACAATAACACATGTCTTCTTTATTTCACCTTATTTTTACTTATTTTAGAAAAAATAAGATAAGATAAGATAAAATCTGAAAAAATAAGTTCAGATCAGATCATTGTTTTATGTGCAGTTTTTTATCGCAAATATCTTTAATTTCATAATGAAACAAAATTATGAAAATTACATATTAATAAAATACACATTATTACGAATCTAACAAGATCACACTTGATATATTTTTTCTTAAGGTCAAAGTCTGGTCAAATCAGACATCAGATCTGATCAGAATAGACCAGACCAAATCATATCAGATCAGATAAGTTCAGATAAGTAAATATAAGGCGAACTAAATAGGGCCTTACTCTAGTAGGTGGAAGTTTCCGAGATTGGTTTCCCGTACGTAGACTTTTTTTTTTTTTTTTTTTTTTTTTAAAGAAAGGTTGAGAACATGGCATTATGGCAAGTATGCTTTTTCTATGAAAGTGATGCTAGTCAATTTTGTTAG